CATGTTGATTGAATCTTTTGCGATCAGCTTGGAGAGTATAGGTACCTGTGAGAAGGCGAGCTTTGATTGTGGCTTTTGAGATGTCCCTGATGTTGTTCTGAGTTGTTTTCCAGATATTGTGTGGATGTTTGGTAGCCAGTTCTTGTAGGTTCAGATATTTTAATGATTTTTTCTGTTCAATCTCATCTCTCCAGGACTCTTCCCAGTATTTGTTGATAGCTGAATCGATTTGCTTCTTCCATAGGGTTTTACTTGGTGGATTGTTCATAATTTCGAATGCTGTTGGAAGGCTATATTTCTGTAGGATGATCCTTATATGTGTAAACCAGCTGTTACTTGTTTCATCCTTCATTGCTAACTGACGTCTGGCAATCTCATGTTCTATAAACTCTGGGTGTGAAGCAATGTTGAAAAAGGTGGTCAAGGAGTTTCGCTCTATATGGACTGTAATTGGAGTTGTCCCTAGTAAAGCATACACTGCAACGTTAGCGCATCTGTCAGGGAGCCCTTGGATCTGTTTCAGTAGTTTCCGCTCGTAGATTTCCAAAGCGTTGAGTTCTTTCTGCTGTAATTTTACTACTTCAAGTCCATATGTTATTCTGGGCCTGCTAAATGTTGTAAATATTTTATTCGTTACTACAGGATTGATACCATTTTTCCCGTGTAAGCCAGCTCCTAGTAAGGAATACATTGTACGTCGTCCTTTCTCTATTCTGCTTTCGATATCATTTTTCTTGTTGGCATTTCTCACTATCCCAATATGAGTTGTTTCCTGGACTTCTGCTATTGTTTCGTTTCCAATTTTCCATTCCTGTGGCTCCCTTCCTCTTTTGGTGTTAAAGAGCACTGCATCGCTTTTGGAGGAGTTTATTGTGACTTTGTCTATTTTGGTTGAGTCGTTCACTATATTCAGTTCACACTGTAGATCTATAGGGTTGAAAGCAATCAGAGCAATGTCATCAGCTACTGTAGGTGCCCCAATAAATGTTGTTCCAATTTTTGCCCCAGCATCATGTAGTTGTAAGGTTTGAAGAAGTTGATTGTTGTATCTTTTATACAGGGATGGTGAAAGTTTTGCTCCCTGTCTAATGCCTTGTCTGGACTGGAATATTTTGCTCAGGTTGCCTTTCCATTTGACCTTGGTATTAGCTTCTGTTTGTAGCAGCTTAATGAGTAACCATCTTGTATCCTTAATTCCAGAGTGGAATACTTTTCTGAGGAGTATTTGGTGGTCGAGTTTATCGAATGCCTTTTCTGCGTCAAGGGTTACCACTCCAGCAGAGATGTTTTGGTCACAGGCTTCATTAATACCTTCTGTTACTACCAGCCCAGCATTAACAGGTGAAGTCTCTTCTGTAAACCCCCGCTGTAATCTACTTTGTGTGGCTTTGAGTTCATCATTTGTGTCATCTTGGAGAACAGTTTCAAGTATCTTACTCAGTACTGGAGTAACTGCAATACCTCTGTAGTTACCAGGCAGTTTAGAGTCTTTGTACTTCTTTAATACTGGAGTTAACAAGCCTGTCTGTAGATTTTCTGGGATATAGCAGTATGTGATGATGTTCAAGATGATAGATGTTATATATGTGATCGCGGTTTCACCCCCATACTTTAGATGTTCTGCAGCTAAGCAAAGGTGGTCTGGAGCTTTTCCGTTGGACAGTTTCTGTACGGCTTTTCTGATCACATTATCATTTACTTTTAGGATAAGTTGTTTGGATTGTTGGCCTTTGATAAGTTCCTCAATGAGTAGGCAATCAATATTTATCAAATGTTGTACATCTTTGTCATATTCATCGTTGTCCATGGGTGTTGCCAAAGTTTCAAAGTGTTTTTTCAAGCCATTTAGAATTGTGTCATCATCATCCAGTATTTCGTCATCTACAATGATTACGTCTGTTTCTCCATGTCTTGTTGTTCTTTGTTCTTTGATGAGTTTGTAAAAAGGTTTTTGATTGAATTCTTGAGATTCCATAATGTTATTGTATTTGGTTTCTCTTATTCTGGATTGTGCTTGTCGCTGGAGTTGTCTAAATTTCTTTTTCTTACTTTTCATATCTTGATATAGTTGGTTGTTGGGGTTTCTTTGTGAACCAGTTGTTTTCCACTTGTGGTATGCAATTTTTGCCGCCTTTGAAGCTTCCTCTATTTCGTAGTTCCATGCCCCACCACCTTTTGTTCTTGTGACATTCTGTTTTTGAGCATTGTATTTTGGAATGGATGCAGTTCCTGCTTCATGTAGAACATTTGTCAGGTGCATTACATCTAGTGCAAAGTCAAATTTACAATGTACAGGTGCCTTGTTCGTTTCAAACAGCTCTTCAATTGTTTGGTTGTATACTTGCTTGTCACATTTATCCCTTTTTGGCTTTTTGAATGTTATTTGGTTGGGTATGGTTTTGGGTGTTTTTGCCAACTTCTCTACTTTGATTTTACCCATGATTAGGCTGTGGTCAGATGTGTTAAGAGGTTGTAGTCCCATATTTTGTATATCTCCAATTGACTCTGCTGTTTGATTTCTTGGTGTAATGAAGTAATCAATTGTTGCAGGAAGGCCTCAAAGCAAAAAATAAAAATAAGGCGTCAAAGCAAAAAATAAAAATAGCCTTGAAAGACGTCATAACTATTTGGACTAGTAATGCATGTGATATGAACATGTGTAGTCCATATAATTATGACGTCTTGAAAGGCTATTATACTTTTTTGCTTTGACGCCTAGCTGTAAGGCGTCAAATAAAAAAAGTATAATAGCCTTTCAAGACGTCATAATTATTTGGACTAGTGATATGTGGTATAAACAGATAGAGAAGATGGAAGTTACTCAGTACATAAAGGGAGTCAATGATTTATATATTGAAGGAAGGCAAAAACAGCAGTACCTATATATCATTAAAGAATGATGAGCTGTGTTGAGGTAGTGATGTCAGTAAAAATTAAATTCACTTGTACTTTCACAAATTAACTTATTCTCTATTGAGTAAGGAATAGGTTCAGGCTCACCTGATAAACATTGGGCTGAACGTTTGAACAGAGAACGTATTTACCAACCATGCACTGTCTCTTTCCACGTCGGCAAAGGCAAATCTAGGTTTTTTTTTCTATGGCACATGCCTTGGTAAAATTGATGTAAAACTATTTCAAAACACATGGTTTAACGATTTTTTTAACAGGAAGGAAGTATCAGGTTATTATGACAACTGGATCCCCTCCCAATTTATGCCTGGTAAGTTACGATTCATCTGAGGACCACATTGATTTTTAAAGCCAGAAAAGTATCACAATTCCCTTATTTATCGTTTTGAGCTTTCTTCAAGTAATTTGATTACCAATGTTTTACGTTTTGTAAACATGTGTGAACATTATCCTCGGCCAATTATAGAATTTTAATGATTTTTCCTAAGCCACCCCCATTTTTGTTACGACGCGCCCCTGTTTGTGGTAAACAACTCAAGGAAACGGAAAAATAACGAAAACTAATGCATGTAACATTACGAATTTTACTCACGATCTGAAGCAATCCTATATCTATCAGAAAATATAACTTTTATCACTCATCTCCGTTTTTTGAGGGAGGAGTATGAAATAGAAAATTATTTTTGGACCGCCCATTAGGCGGGATAGGTTGAGGTCATTTGGGTTAAAATGTAAATTCATTCTATGAACCGTGTATTCGTACTGCAATCGAAAAAGTTGATAAATTGCACCAGAACCATTTTAAACTTCTTATTTCATGCATAACATTTGATAAATATGGACTGTAATACTTACATAACGGTTATCTAGATGTTTAGGCGATGCAAAATCCGCCATTAATTAAGGCACGCTGAGCTTCTTCGAAATGCATCATGGGTAATCACACTAAAATCTCGCGCTGCATAAGACATTATAATACAATCTATGCAAAAGTCCACGAGATTTCAATCCTGCTTACTATACAAATCCTTGGTAATGCCTAACATTATTTAGGCAATAGACTTACTGCCTAGGCGTTAGCTTATTGCCTAGGATTTAAGCTAAATGCCTGATTTCACTTATTGCCGCTAACATATATATATATTTACATACAGTTTGATGAAGAGTTGGAATTATGTGAATTATCACTTTTACAAATTCCTCATTATATATGATATAATATTAATAAATGATCCATGGCCTTTTATTAAACCAAGAAACACTTGTTGATGAAATACATACTACAATTTATTTATACATATGTAACTAAATGCATGTATATGCAAGGTTTTGTGTAATTCACACAAATTTAAGAATATAATCTTGAATAATAAGAAAGTTACGAGTATTTTCAATGTCTGATATCAAAGGATTACGAATATTGGGCTGACATGACAAGTTAGTCACTATGCACTCTGGTGTGAACAATGCAATAAAAAGTATTCAGATTTTTCAATCTAGCTACATTTACAGGAATGATCAGTATCTTTATTTTCTAAACAGATGTTCATTTAGACCAAGTGCTCTTAGATTCGATTCTTGTATGCAAAATTTGTCCCAGTCTACTTCCACTGTAAAAATATCCGGGACTACATGAGTTTTCTTCAAAAAAATTTCTTTAATATATATAGAAAGATGAATTTCTTATATGACTCGGGAATCTCGTTCCAAAGACGAGCAGTAGCAGGTAGAAAACTGTTATGATAACTATTCGTTCGTGCGTGCAGGTATATGTCGTAAGTGTGCCATATTGATGGGATATGCCTTTGGCAAGAACTAAATTTGAAAGTAAGGCTAGATAATTATTTTTAACCCATTGATGGAATAATACAAGCTTGTGATTGTGTCGCCTTTCATTGAGAGATTCTCTACTGGTATTATTCAAAATAATTTGTAGGTTTGTTACCTTATTAGCCCCGACCACGATATGTACTGCCTCACCCTAATGTTAAATATATGTAATTTTAAAATCATCCTTTGAATTCAAAAGATCAATTATTATCAGCTGAAGATTATTAAGTAATGTAGTCTTTGAAAATATTACTAACCCAAACTTGTCCATACATATTGTTTTCGGTTTCTGGTTCTTGCAACTCAAGCTTGTCATCAATAGTGCTCAAACGTGCACTTTCACTTCGATCTAAATTTGTCAAACTTTTACTGTAATCTGCGTGAGAATATTCATTGTCAAAACAAATATCCAAATTTGGAACTGAGGAAGAAAAATCAAGATGATGATAAACATTGCTGTATGCAAGGCTATCTCGTCTAGGATTTCTTGCTTTCATGTTGTTTATGATGTTCATCTGGCGAACTGGTTGTATTTCCCTTACCATCTGAGATTCACGAATTACACAATACATATCATCATCTTCCTCAACATTTATATTTTCCTGTGATGCATGTATTCCAGTAGATACCCTGTTAACTTCTGTGCGATTAATTGGCATATTAACTGTAAATAAATCAGGAGAAAATAGATTTCCTTTCAATAAACGATAATGAAAGAATTTGTGTTGGTGTGTAATCCATCTCATTCAATCATGTTTGTGTATATATATATAGGCTAAAATTATTGACACTGACGAAGGCTATTTGTTAAGCCAAAATATTTGTCAACACGATTTTATAACACCAGCTTCGTATATTACCATCTAATATTAGTACCGTTGTGCAAATCTTAAAACTTATTATATATATAATAAGTAGGTCTAAAAGGGTACAACATCACCCCAAAAAAACTAAAATCATGAACAAATGTTAAATATTTCGGATAACTAATATCCTTCATCAGTAAGATGTCAAATGATTCTTATCTTGACATGTGGTAGTCGAACTGAAATAATAATCTTGATCGTTATACAAATTATCACGAATCAATACGCTGGTAAATTTTTTCAATATTGATGTTTGGGAATTATACAAATTATCACGAATCAATACGCTGGTAAATTTTTTCAATATTGATGTTTGGGAGGAGGAATAAATTCCTTAAAACTGTAAGAGTCCTGTACTGAAGCCTGAGTTACAGGAAACAATTGATGGTAGGGACTCATTCTATGTTTTTTCATTAATGCCCTCTGGGGAAACTGTCCGTAACTTTCTTATCCAAAAATTTTCCCGAGTAAGTCTGTCGGCCCTTGACCAACTCTCGTTGTGGTCTATGATAGTGATGGTAAGGTTTTTGAGATGAGCTTGAGCGTGCCCAGGTGATCTCAAATGACGACTTACAGGGAGGTCGGGCTATATGTGTGTGTGTGTGTGTGTTTGTGTTATTCTATTAATATTATAATCATTATTATTATATCTCCAGCATCTATTCCAGTAGATACCCTGTTAACGTCTGTGCGATTAATATGCATATTAACTGTAAATAAATCAGGAGAAAATAGATTTCCTTTCAATAAACAATAATGAAAGAATTTGTGTTAGTTTTTGTAATCATCTCATTCAATCATGTGTGTGTAAATATATATATATAAACAAGTCTAAATTGAAAGCAACGTTCGAACCTATGATTGCGTTGGATAAAAACCGCAATTTTTATACGTGTGCATGCAAAACTAATAATTTAATACCAAACAGAAAACAACAAACTTGCGGAAAAGATGGTATACCGCAAACATGAGGTGCAAAAATTAGTACACCATATCCGGATTTCGACAATTAATGTCTCTTTAGTGATGTTAGGAATCGAAACGGTATTTTGAAGGCCATATAATTTACCTCAATTTAGGATAGACTCTTACATTTTGAAGAGTCGAAATAGGATGAACGGATCATATAAACAAAACCGCAATTTTTATACGTGTGCATGCAAAACAAATTTCTTGGTAGAGGGGTCTAAATACAGCACAAACAACATTTTCCAAAATACCAAAAGAGTGAAAAAGTATATTTTAACAAAACGCATTTGACTAACAGGTCGAACAACGGATGTTCTTAAACCCTGCTGACTGCCATTGGCGATTGCCAAATAAACGGATCACCAGATGTAACAAAATGGATCTTAACTATTAATTTAATACCAAACAGAAAACAAAAAACTTGCGGAAAAGATGGTGTACCACAAACAAAAGGTGCAAAAATTAGTACACCATATCCGGATTTCGACAATTAATGTCTCTTCAGTGATGTTAGGAATCGAAACCGTATTTGGAAGGCCATATAATTTACCTCAATTTAGGATAGACTCTTGAATTTTGAAGAGTCAAAATAGGATGAACGGATCATATAAACCCGAAGGCAAATATAATACAAGCCCAAACGAAAAAATATAAACAAGTCTAAATTGAAAACAACGTTGAACTTCAAACCTATGATTGCGTTGGATAAAAACCACAATTTCTATACGTGTGCATGCAAAACAAATTTCGTGGTAGAAGGGTCTAAATACAGCACAAACAACATTTTCCAAAAGACCAAAAGAGTGAAAAAGTATATTCTAACAAAACGCATTTGACTAGCAGGTCGAACAACGGATGTTCTTAAACCCTGCTGACTGCCATTGGCAATTGCCAAATAAACGGATCACCAGATGTAACAAAATGGATCTTAACTATTAATTTAACACCAAACAGAAAACAATAAACTTGCGGAAAAGATGGTATACCGCAAACAAAAGTTAGTACACCATATCCGGATTTCGACAATTAATGTCTCTTCAGTGATGTTAGGAATCGAAACCGTATTTGGAAGGCCATATAATTTACCTCAATTTAGGATAGACTCTTGAATTTTGAAGAGTCGAAATAGGATGAACGGATCATATAAACCCGAAGGCAAATATATAATACATATGTATGTGTTTGTGTTATTCTATTCATATTATAATCATTATTATTATTACTTTTGCAGATTTTCTTCCAAATACAACAGGTAGGGCAAAGAAAACGATTTCGACATATCATTTTCAATTGAAAAGTGTTGGCAATTACTGTTCAAAGCTGTTGTTACATTTTCTGCATCGATACCAGCTGTTGCATTTGCTTAAATTAAAGAATGCCGCCAGTGGACATATAGTAGCGGTCTAAACTCGAAAGCTGGACTTTATCGGTTCGATCCCTGACAGGCCAAACTAGAGATTCATTATCGTTCAGAACAGAATTCAAAGACGACTAAAATAATATATTGATTATTCAACTCACGGGCTATAAATTCCCCGTCTTTTAAGGAACATTCGTCCAGCCATGAATCTCACAGCTATGTAGGGGAAAATAGAAGAACTGATGTTTGACGTAGTTTTCATATATAACATCCAAATTCGGGACAAGAACATCTAGACCTTTTCAGCTTCGTACTTTATTTGTTTCTTTTAACTTTTTAAGTCGATTCGAGCGTCGATGATGAGTCTTTTATTGATGAAACACGCATTTTGCGTACAACATTTTAATCCTGGTATCTATGATGAGTTTATTATGCTAATGTGACACAAATATAAACCTAAATGTTATCTTAAACCGACGTGCCGATTAGTTCAAAAGATGACAGTTCGGACGAAATTATGGTCATTTAGGACAGTTTTCCTTATTTGATTCCTACTCTTAATTACTAACTACTTAATTATCGCAGCACGTACCAGTTCTTTTTTTTTTGGCCGCAAAGGGAATCGAACCCACGACCCCGCCATCTTGCTACCACAAGATAATCAATGCAGTTAAAAGAAATGGGTCCTTATTATGATGTTAGAGATATAACATTTGTATCTATTCTTCGATTCTTTTAATGACCATTATTGTTTGCAGAATTTTTTTTCCAATTTTATTTCAAATTAAATTATGATATTGATATTACTTGGCTAATATAACATATGGAAGTACTTGAAAAATATACAAAATAAGAATTAGTTGGATTCTCAACATAGACAATTAGAGGATGTGGAAGATGTCTTCTTGAAACAACGAAACAGTACTTTAGTCTATAAAACATTGCCAGTAAGAAAGTTTTGAATTTCAGTTAAGAGGTATGACAAATTCCTCCATTACATGTCACAGTTTTTCATACAGGATGGATCAAAATTGGAAAGGTGTGGAAACCTAGTGAAATTTGAATGATAAAAAGTCTAATAAAGATATGTAAAAGAATCTTCAACAATTTTGCATATATCCATTTTATAGAAATTTGACTGCTATACAATGGTAATGAAGACAATTCTGATACTGTTGTAAATTTTATATGTATTTTATTTTGCTTACGTAATAGCATATCCAAAATTATAATGAACGAATCTGTATCTGAAAGACAGTACTGTACATAATTTGATCTGATTGGTTTTGGATTTGTAATCAAAATTGCATTCTTTAACCATCTTTACGCAATTCCTGTTTGGTAACATTTTCAGAAATACAACATAATGTGTGAGAACCTAGAAGTATACACATGGAACCATATGTTATACTATGAGTTTTACCGTATCTTGAACGAACTAATAAAAATGGTCTTCGCGTGAATTAAAAATAAAGAACTGGTCCCAACATCTCTTTTTATGTGTTTCTTATAGATATATACTTTTCAATTTGAAATACTCCTAAGAATCTTTTTTTTTTATATCAAGTATCACAGAGAAAAAACAAAGGACAAAAACTAGGATCAAAATCCAAAAATGAATATCATAAAATTATTATTATTTTTTTAATAAAATGATGATATCTGAGATATCAGCAATAAAGAAAGAAATCCAAACTTGTATGTAAACTTAAATTTCATTGTGAACAAAAAAGTTAAAAAGTTAACAAATTATTAAGTTCAATTTCGTGATGTTGCAATTATAAATTATTATGCAGATATGATGAACCTTTAAGATTAATTGACTGTTGTTTGATTAACGTCCATTGGTGATTATTTCATGCATGTTTAGGACGAGAACAAATTAACAATTATTAAATACAATAGGTATGTTCGGCAAGGTAGGTGCTGACCGGGATTAAGGGCGGGACATATTGACTCCTAAAAGATTAGGGTATTTTGGATAGGGTTAGAAATGTTTGCCTTGCAACAGGCCACCTACGGACCCCCCAGAGAGTTGAACAATGGTTCTTTAACGTACAGAGAGCGTAGCATTTTCTCTACACGAGACATCTGATCATATAGCCGAATTTTGAGTACTTTACAAATTTGCATAGCGGCAATATTTACTTAATATGGACCACATGTATTTCAATTGCATTATATATGCTAGAAAAATAAAAATTTAAATATACCAATCTTTACGTCTCATCAACAATCTTTCCTCATATCATAGTCGAATTTACATGTGACACTTATTTGCCTTCTGCTCATGTACGATTGAGCATTGTCGATTTGGAAAATTTGGCATTTTTTGTTTTATAATTTAAAGCGTAACCGTAGTATAATTGCTATATAAAGTAACCAAAATTCGTGAAAAAAGGCATAAAAAATTATACAAAATACAGTTACAAGATGAGACTGTGATTTACTTGCATATAATTACATTAC